ATATAAATCTTTATTTGAAATATTTTACATGCAGGCACTTCAAACTTTGTACTTTGAGTTAACATTAATAGGAACTGAAAAACATTATTTAGGTAAGAAAATCAGGTACTTGCGCTGGGTAATATATACATATAGTTAGTGTTCTAGGGTTAACGAAAATAAGGCAAGTGTGCCTTGCTATGCTGCAATTACTTGCCGGATTTCAAAACGAACACAGAAGTATAGCTGGCCATTCGTATTTGAGGATACCCGTCTACTAGGGTGGCTAGCCAATCCCTATTGTAGACGTTTGCTCAGGCGCATTTGTGTTTATTCAACACCCACAGAGCCCACTCTTGATTTATACTGCAAGTATGCTGAGCAGACCTTAGTTACAGTTTCTGTACAATTTGAACAAGGCCAACAAGTCTAAGTCCTCGGTCACGATGACAGCCTTCGACGGCAACCAAGGGTTCCGTCTACCCAAATTCAATCGCATGGTTTTCAGGCATTTTTTTTTTTTTTTTGCCGCATGCAGAGATCGACCCGTCCAGTCTCCTTCCTGACAAGTTGACCCTGGTGAGATTCGAACTGGGGTCTCATTATCAGAATGCGAACGTAACCAATCGGGTCACGAGTCAGATCATAAATATCAAGCTGAAAATTCGATTAAAAATTTGTAACCTTTCATTTTTATTTCTATTTTCAACATTTTCACTTTATTAGAAAAACATTATTTTTTCTAAATTGTAAACGAACATGTACGAACAAAATTTGTTTAATACTTCACACTCACTTATCAGCTATTAGTGGTGCATGTAAGGCAAAATTTAAATGAATAATAATAGACGGGTTGGGATGTTTGCGCTTTCAAGCTAGTAATAATAATTTACATCAGTCAGTCAGTTATGTGCCATGCATGACACATGCTTAGGCGATCATGTATCTTTCGGTACATGATTGATGAGGCAGATATTTCCCGTCATTTCTTTCTGCTGTAGACCAGTTGCTATCTAACACTGTCCTGCTATTTACCCATAGCTGGGCGGGGTGAGGGAAAAAGAGGATTCATACCTTTCCCAAGGGTATTAGCACGTAAGTGAATGTAATGGATTCGACTGGAATTCGAACTCAGCTCTCCGGTTCCTCAATCCGAGCTGCTATCCATTACTCCACAATTAATTTACATATTTGTTCGTATATTTTATACAAAGCTGTAAAGAAAAACAGTTTTAGAAGAAATAAAATGTTAATTATATTAACTGTGGCATAAATTCATAATACTTCATTTGAAATAACGGTACGTTTTATTTTATATAATTATTGTAACGTTTAGAGTAATAACAAATATATTAATAACAATATATATTAATAACTTAGGAAACACATGTTATTATAATAAAGTAATAATTATGTTTTTGACATATTTTTATGTGAAAAATATTTTTCTTACAATAAAGGTATCATTATTTCATGCGTTTTGCTGTTTTATACAGCAGTTCTTCATATTTTGCTTCCTTCTTTCCGTGTAGATAAACAAAAATCACAAAAATATAAAAGTTGGATCGTGATTATCAAGATGAGAATGAATACAGAATCCATACTACTACTATTAAACTAGAGAGGAAATTGATTAATTATCATAGCAAGAGAGCTTTAATACTTGCGCTAACCAAATCCTCGCTACGATGTGCCGTTTTTTCTATTATAAAAAAACAACAAAATTCCCAGCAAGAGAAATCAGATCATAATATCGATATCTTGATTTTTTAAAACTTTATCATTCTGTCGTCTGATTAATATTTTATTACAAGCAAATAATACCAATTTGTTTAAATTAATAGGTATTTTTCTTGTGTTGACCACCGACAATATCAGCGCCAAACAATCTGTCACTGAAGTTGAAACACATATATCTGTTCCACTCATGCTCACCAGGATAATTAAACTTATTTCCACTTTCTTTGTATTACTGTAGACTTGTGTGACTAAAGTGAGGAGCGCTTGGGTAATTTTAGTGACCAGATTTCAACGAAGAATCTGTCATAGTCGAGGAAGCTTTAAGTATTGTGTTTCCTATGCTGGTCACGACACACTGTCCGCACACCATTCTGCCCTTCGTTTTAACTTGAATCCATAGACTTCAATCGCGTCAGCTTTTCGTCATCCGGTTCGTATACCCTCCTCTTCTGTGACAACGAAACAACAACTAATGAATGGCAAAATTGAATTCGACAGACGCCCGACAAGAGAGTGTAAGTATAAGCATACAAAAGTGAATATTCCTTTAACTGTTTTTGTGTTTGCATGTGTGTGTGATGCGCGTGTGAAGGCGCATATCTATCTATCTATCTATCTATCTATCTATCTATCTATCTATCTATCTATCTATCTATCTATCTATCTGTCTGTCTATTGCAGTCAGTTCATCTCTTTCTCTCTCTTTCTCTCTTTGTTTATCAGTCTGTTGGTATCTTTCTATCTAAAAGTCGCACGCACATTTTCTTTACCCTTCGCGTGAACACACACACATGCATATATATATATATATATATATATATATATATGTGTGTGTGTGTGTGTGTGTGTGTGTGTGTGTGTGTGTGTGTGTGTTATGGGGTCCACCCCTTTTTCATACAAGTGGATTCGCCCAGTGGGTACTTGTATTGCTGCCGGTGAATACCCGGGAGTTAGACGGAGATACACTGATAGAGTGATACAGTGAGAGAGTGAGAGTGTCAGGTAACCGCTTTGTAGGAGTCACAGTTGCGAGCACGTAGACTCAGAAGAAAGTCATACTTCGATTCTGAATTTCCCAGACTGTATATATATATTATTGTTGCTACTAACCGCATTTCTGGATCTACTAACCGTATTACCAATTGTATTATTGCGTCAATACATTTATTTGCTATATTTCATTCCTGCGTTTGTCATTCATTTGAGACCGGATTTAATCTCGGAATCCACAACAATATATATATATATATATATAAATAAATAAAAGTGAACATTGAAGTCAACACTCAAAGGCGACAGGCTGTTTCATGCTGGACCCAATCGTCAGGCCGCCTGACGATTGCGACCAGCATGAAACAGCCTGTCGCCCTGAGCGTTGACTTCAATGTTCACTTTTATATTTATGTTAAATACGCTCTATCTCTGATATTGAGCACTTTATCCCATAGATATAGCACACCTTAAAAATATATTTCTTTATATATATATATTTATATTTTCTTTATTTTATGTATTAAAATCCCTCGATTAATTTGCATTTGATTAAAGCGTTTCCGATCAGTGCGCTAAAATATTTTAATATACCAAAATTCGCTTAGAGCATGCATAATACTCGATTAGTGCGATAAAGATTCTCCAGTTCAACCATAGTAATTGTAAATTGATTTTTTATAGTTACCCGTTAATTAAAATTTTCCAAAATTTAAAAATGGAAAATAGGTAACTATTTTGAAAATAGGTAACTATTTTGTTATGTTATCCAAATGATTACAGTAGCGTTAAAAAAAGACGATTATAAATAGATAAATTTTATAATATAAGCTGATAATATATATTTGAGTATTTGTATCTCTCTACATTTCTGAGATGACGTATTATGTACACTATTTACATTATTCGGGCTAGTGTCCTCATCTTTGTCGCCATATTTATTACATCCTTTCGGTCGTTGTACGCTCAGGCCTTCTTCAAGTGGTTGGAATGTCGAACTGAACCCTCACTGGGGTAGACTGTTTTAGTTACATATGCCATGTTTAATAGATGTCAGTCATCTGTTAATTCCCCTCTCAAAGTTCTCCACTGCCTCACACTCTTTGTGTCATGTCACTGGATCTAACTAACGCCTTTATCCACTGTGCCATGTGTCCTTGAGGATCTGCCTCTTAAAATTTTTGGAATATTTCGATTTTTTTTTCATATTTATTTTAAAGATCTTGAAAGGAAATTTCTGATTTTTTGATAAAAAAAAATGACGATTTTATTAGATACAATCATTAAAAAATATCGAAATATAAACGACTAAAAATAAAATTTTCAGGTTAAAATATTAATGTGATATGTTTTGAAAATTTGAAGGTACAATTTCTCAGTACCGCCAATTATAAAAAAAAAAAAACAGAAGAATACCATGAGGCAAAACACTCTAAATAATTTTTTGATAAAAAAATCAGATTAATAAATATTAATTCATAGCATTTTTATTGCATCTTCTTAAATGTACCTACATTTTAATTAAAAAAATACGCACATTAGAAATTAATTGTGAATGAGACTAAAATTTGAAGAACAAATTACATCATTTCCTATAAATTATTATATTCGATAAATGCTGCGTTTTCGATTAGTGCGTATTTTTCAATGTACATATTAGTCGCACTGATCGAGGGATTACTGTATTCGCTTTTTTTCTCAACAGTTTTAGCACTGTTTTATTAGATTGCTTCTTTACAAGTATAAGCCTCTGAATTTATTAATTTTCCTCTCGAGAACTGACAGCAAAAATGTTAAACATAATTTATTTATGAGTCTTTTTATTTACAAGAATAGTATTTAATAATTTTATTGTTTTATTAAAACTCTAAAAAATAAATTTTAAAACAATAAAAACTGCTAAGAAAGTATACAGTAACAGCATTGTCAAGAGCAAAACTGTCCTTTTGACACAGCGAGCTTTTTGTTTCCGCGGGTATGAATGTTACATTTTGAAATATAATTTCAAAATATAATTTACACAAAGTATGTATATTTGTGTCGGCAGTAATGTGAATGAGTAAGTCTGTTGTCAGACATGGACTTAGTTCAGATATTGTAATTTTCTATCAAGAGTTGTGTGAATACAAATCATCACTTGATAAGACACCAGGGGTGTTGAAACAAAATGGCTATTTTTGTAGTGATTTTATAACATTATGTTATAATTTTTAGATAAATAATGATATATATATATATATATATATATGTGTGTGTGTGTGTGTGTGTGTGTGTGTGTGTGTGTGTGCATGTATTTTAGAATATATATATATATATATATATATATATGTGTGTGTGTGTGTGTGTGTGTGTGTGTGTGTGTGTGTGTGAAAAGTGTGTATATAAATATATATATATATATATGTGTGTGTAATATATTATATATATTATTATTTATATATTATATACGCGGTATGACAATCGCAAAAGCGTGAAACCCAGGGTCACAAACTCACATCAATCCAACCAAATATATATATATATATATATATATATATATATATATATATATATATATATATATATATTCAAACATACATTGTTAACTATAACGGACCCCAAATGTAGATTATGAGACGTTCTAAGCTTGGTATAATGGCTTTAGTTTCGGGAGAAATAAAGACAAAAACTGTCCAATATTTGGATATATTTTATTATGTTGTTCATCGACCCCAGCTTTCGGACATTACAACAGAGATGTTGACCAACAAAGATGGCATCCTCTTCAGTTTACACAGCAGTTTGTTATGCAACGATAACGGTTGCGGAATAGCAGACGCAGGTCGTAAATTCATAATGCGGTTCTATGACGTCGTACATGACCAAGTGAGAGAAAGAAATGTTATCAACAAAACCATGTGTTTAGACGCAATGTAATATGTTGTGAGCGTGGGTTGTTTTCTTTTAATGGAGATGGCCTCCAGTATTTAAGGTTCTTTTTACTGTGTGAATGTATGAGTATTGTGTTATCAACTACTATCCGTCTAATATTATGTACATGACTATGTTTTTCTTTTTAATGGAACTAAGATCAGAAATGTGACAAGTAAGTCTCCGCGAGAGCGTGATTGTAGTAAAACCAATACATGTAGTGGGTTTATTATTAGTATCAGAGATAGACTTACCTAACGCATACATAATAGTGTATATCAAAATAAACATAATACTATTAACCTATACTATTGTAACCAATTTCATAATAATTACAAACACGATGAAACAACACTCAAAAACATAATAGTTAGAAATGTTAAAACCATTAATAATAATAAACAAGTTAAGCTCATCATATGTTATAAAAACATGACAGCGATTTAAAGAAGGTTGGAATCTGGTCCAGTATTTTGGGAATATTATCCGGACATGCGATGGGACAATAAAAGACCAAGGATGGACCCCATCAGGAAAAAAAAAAAAAGATTTGAAAGTAGCGTGAGAAGTAGACGTAGTTGTATATTGCACCACTAAGTGTCACGAATAGAGACTATTTTGAATGTGACGTCACGCGTTGCCTTTTATTCTGGCTTGGTTGACCATTTTTTTTACTGCCTGGCAAAATTTTCAGATGTTTGCACACATCCCTTGACAAAACTTCAATAATTGATTACACATATATTTCAAAGTCATGTTCTGTTTATATAAAATAATTACCTACAATAATATAATCGACAAATTTCAAATACGTTTTCGTCACACTAAACCTCTCTTAACAAATTCAAACAAATTGATGCCATAAATTAACGTCTTTTAAGAAAACTATGACTGCTGAAAATAAATTCAGTTTCATATTCAAGGTTCGTGAACAATTACTGTAATCTCCACAAAACTCAGAGTAGAGACAAGATAAATGAATATATATATATATATATATATATATATATATATATATATAGAGAGAGAGAGAGAGAGAGAGAGAGAGACAAGATAAATGAATATATATATATATATATATATATATATATATATATATATATATATATATATAAATATAAAAGTGAACATAGAAGTCAACACTTAGAGCCTCTAAGTGTTGACTTCTATGTTCACTTTATATATTTACACACGCTCTATCTCTGATATCGAGCACTTTATCCCATAAATATAGCACACCTTAAGACTATATATATTGTTGTGTGTGTGTGTGTGTGCGCGCGCGCGTGTGTGTGTGTGTGTGTGTGTGTGTGTGTGTGTGCACGCGCGTTATTAACTGTAAAAATAGCTACCGAGGCATAATTTGATGACACTTATCAACAGTGAGTTTTTTGTTAGTCAGCAAGTTATCAGTCTTGTATTTGACTGCCTCTGTCTCCGGATATAGAAACAGCCAAAATTATATTCATATTAAATAAAGTAGGTAGTTCTGTAGCCATATATATATATATATATATATATATACATTGAGAGTTCAACGAGTTTTAGTGGACTCAGCAGTTTTCAATCTGCTTGCCCAAATCGTCTTCAAGAAGCGAGAGCAAGATCTAAAAGGCCAGCTAATCTAACAGTGATCTCATCCCACAATCCTCACTCTCGCTCCGTATGTTGCCTCTTTTGCAAATCACTAGCGGGTCTTAAGTGCCACTTAAGATTATCGCACAAAATGTCATAACTGAAACAATTAAGCTGTCAGATCCTCATACGTCGAAACAGACGGGAGAGTCCATTACTATATTGAGAGTAAGAGGGAGAGAATAGAGAGTCTGTGCGAAGTTTTGTTTTGTTTTCTTAAGAAGAAAATGCCATTGAAACTGTTGA